TGTAATTCTAGCTGCCAATTTACACTGTTCTGGGGCTCAAACTTATTTTTAGTTTCATTTCCATGGAAAACGTGCACTTTTGCTCTTGATTGATAGATATATTTTGACAGTTAATACAGGTTTACCCAGTCAAGGCTTGTTTTAGTTGAAGGTGAAAATGGAAGAGAAAAAAAGAATTACTCTGACAGATATCCGTATTTCTCTTTTTATTGCATTCGTTGTCTGACAACAATAATACTCATTGGCAAGAGATTTATTTACACTGACAAATTAAATGTAATCACAGGTATTTTTAGATTGGTCAGAAAACAGAGGACCATTGTGATAGTTTGCTTTGAACACCTCTGAAAACCAAAGAGTAAGAAATGTCGTTTGAAACGGAACAATCTAGAGAAGTACATATTAACCAAGCACAAGAGAACAATTCAGACGTGGCACTATATTGTCTCTTCCATGCAAATGATCAGACACCAAAATGTACAAATTAAAAGTTTCAGATAGCATGCTATCCATACTTATCGGACGCAAAATGATTTTCAACCAACTCTTTTCCTTTAGTGATATATAAAGAAAGATTAAAATAAATCAACTTCTAAAAATGGAATAGAATTCGTTCTCTCTTGTTTCTCTTTTCAGCTGGCTGGTTTTGTTAGTGATATGTAGCAGACGTACAAGTGGCTTAGCTGCGACACCATTAAAAAATACAAAAGCAATGCTTGTGATAACCATAAATAATATTAAGGAAAACATATACACACATATACTTAAGGGGTTTTGCAAAGCACTAACTAAACCTGATGTTGTTGGTAGGTGTCATCTAGTTGGAGTGCCTGTTAATTCCCACTTGTCAAGGTAATTTAACTATTTTTGGCCAATTGTTCTTTCATGGATGAACGGTTACATCCTTAGCAGAAAACCTGGGTATGTGGATAAAGCAGCTGAAAGAAAGAGAAGGGCACACCTTCCAACAACATACGCACGCTCATATCCACTTGCATTATATTTGGCAATGACCTAACCATGCCATCGCTCCACAAAAAAAAAGTAAAGAAATGACCGTGTGATGGCAACACTGCCATCAGAGAGCCGTAGTTAGTGGCTTAAGCATCATAGCTACCAAGTACGTCATCGAAGAGCATGAGCGAATGCACAAGAACACAGGTATAATTTTTAGCCAAGAGACTGCGGTCCGTAGTGGAAAATGCCCAAAGCTGCCTACGTTTCTGAGGTTCAACTCAGCAATGTGCAATCTTGACATCAAAGCATTAACTAAACATTTGAGGAAACTTTATCTTACTAAAATACCAAGTATCTAATAAATCAATTTTACCAAAATATATAAACATGTAGAAGGATAAGTGCATTTAGTAGAAATACTTACATTAAAAAAATCTCTTAAAATCTTATGAGCCATTCCATGTATACACACACACAAAGTGGCGATAAGGCTATGATTACTGCTTGGAGTCCTAACTGAATTACCAAGTTCCTTATACAATGTACATATATTTTATGCCATGTGATTGCAGTGTGTGTGTGTGTGTGTGTGTGTGTGTGAGCGCGTGTGCGCATATGTATGTATATATGTATGTGTGTAAGGTGGAAATATATTCACACATATGTAGTTCTGTACATCTCCACACACAGCATGCACATTATTATTGACAAGTTGCCTCTGGTTCTCTCATTTTTTACCTCTCATTCATTCTTGAATCTCTAGCAGTTTTGGGATTGGGGCAGGGCCAAGGATCGGAAATCATCACATTTCTTTCCTTCCCCACTCTGTAGATGTGGAAGCGGGTCACAGGCCACTCACCTAGGCGAGCCTTCAAGTAACAACCATTCCCTCAACACATCCACACAGACACTCACGCACAAGCACTTAAAGACCCTCTGTTTACTATAAGGTGGAACTTGATGCTTTTATTTCCAGGGAGAAATTGATTCTGTAAGCTTTTCCCTTGCCCTCTGACTTCCTGGTTGGATGGATCTATTCTGTTGCTACTATAAGTTATTCAAATACTACTAGTGCACTGTCCAGTATTATTTTTTCCCCAGTGTTTTGAGCCAAAACTAAACTTCCTGAGACTTTAAATACCTAAGACAAATATAGTTTTTAAAAAAATCTGTCTATATACCCAGGCTCTTTTCCAGGAATGAGTCACTGAAGCACATTCATATTTCTGACAATAATACTGTTTTCTTTTGAGAATTTACTCCCCACCCCCGTTATCATAATAAAAAAAAAAACAATTCTAGTGGAAAATATGGACATTTTATTTCTGGACTTCCTCCTTAAATGCTTAGCTTCAGAAGAGCGTACAGGTAGATCCTTGATCAAAGGTAAATATGAAAAGATATTTTTTAAAAAGCCTGGGCTTTTCTTTTCCATTTCACCTTTCATTCAGAAAGCACTGAGGACTTACCATTAACCAGGTGACTTGAACCTTAGTGCCTGCTGTCCACCAGAGTGATATGCCCCTCACCAGGGCCCTGCTAGGACAGTAAATTTAACGGCTCAGATGGAATTTGGTAATTCTTGAATATGCCAATGTAATGAGGGGCTACCACATATCCAGATTATAAACACTTGTTCCAGAATTGTTGGGACATCTCTCTTTAGAATCTTCAAACACTGGGTTTCTTCTCTTGAAGCCTGGTCTACAGAACCTTTAATATTTATAATTGAGATTGACTATCCATATAAATGCAGTATTTTATTTACTTTTTAAAAATATAATTTTAAAGCACATGTTAATCCTATTACACAAAAAAACCTAGTCGAGAATTCTTTGTCTTCAGCCAAAACCATAAGGGCTAATTGAGGGGCTATATCCAACAACCTATGATGGTAGCTCGGGCCTGGGAGAGCTTAAGATTTCGGGCTAGGGAGGACTAGAGGATGAAAGGCAGCAGCAAGGGTTAATTTGGTTCCTCTCCTGTCCTCTTGCCACTTTGTTTCCAACAACAACAAAGAAACACAAAGCAGGTGTTCCCATTCCAGGCCCCTTAAAAAGCTGAGTTTGGAATGAGCACTGTAATACTGCAATCACGAACTGTCTGCCTGTCTCGTGGGTTAAAGATGCTTCTTTGCTGTTGAGGGCCAGAAATCCAGGGCAACCCCAGCTAAAGAAGGCTAGCCTAGAACGATAGCTTTATTATCATGAAATAAATGGCGGACTTCATCAGTGTATCAGAAGGAACAAAGTTCAGTTTCTGCCCTAATGTGTCACTCTGAAGTACACTTCCGATTCAGGCAGAAAAAAGAAAAGAAAAGAATGAGAAAACTAGTACATAAACTGTGAGTTACTTTAAGAGAGGTGGTCTTAAATAATCTGTTATAATAACTAAAGTCCTTTAATGGAAAACTCTGCCTAGACATTCAGCCCATACAATGCTCCCTGTCTACGGCTTGGCCTCACCACGCATTCCCTAACCCCCAAAGCATTACCTATACCCCAAAACAGTGTGGCTATTGTTAAAGTCATACTGAGCTGTCATTTAGGAAATATAATTCATAGTAACCAGATACTCCCTTTTTGTTCATTTGCTGATAAATAAAAAACTGCAACGTCTTTAAGGATCATGAAGCAACAATTCTGTGTTAAACTGTATGGACGCTGAAGAGCACTAGCATTAAAGTAGGAATTGTCGAAGACACTGGAACCCCGGTCAGGCATCATGCACTAGAGTCAAGAGAAGAGATAATACGAAAACCAAATGTTCATAAGATCTGAGGTCCTGCACTTTGTTTTCACACTCTTTGATCAATCAGTTTACACTCTGTCCTTTGTCGGACAGTCAAATCGAGTGCCTTTTATGATTTCAGCAGTTTTAAGTAGTAATAATATTAAAGTAACTCGCTAAGACCTAAAATTACCATAACTTAACTTAACAAACCAAAATAGTTACAATACAAACTAAGTGATTTGAGGAATAAGAATTTGATTTATAATATTTTCAGTTGATCACTGACCTAAACATTGGAAGTGTACAAATAAAGTTCACGAACAATACTTTTAAGACATTTAAGAAAATGCAATAAATTATGTGCAGAGACTGAGACTTACAGACATTTCCAGCATGTACATCCATTTTCAAATAACACCGAAGTATAAACATAACTTAAAATAATCCTCCTCTATTTCCACTCTTAAAACGAATACAGAGAAAAACTTCCAGTGTGATCCAGATCACCTTTTTTCCCCCAAGGATAAGCAAAAATGGCCAAAATTTACAATAGCAAGCACTAGTATTCCCAGATTTTGACTAATGTAGTCTTTTAGTATTAGACAAGATCTGCTGAATTTTGTAGTTCATGAATAGTGGTGGTTCCTTGTTTCTCATGATATTAATAAATAGCAAAGCACCACACATCTCAAATATTAATAGAGTATCCAGTATGGCAGTTTCATTATCATACTCCAAATGAAGATAGTCAGAAAAACATACATAGTGACTCTGATAATTGTAAAACACAATATTAACTTGTGTCAATGTTTCTGAGTATTGAATGATCTGTACCAGCAACAAAAGGACTGAAGTATAACAGACAATACTCTGTCACTGAAAAGGAAACAGGCCTTAGGGAAAGAACAGCATTATAAATTTCTAGTTCAGCCAATTCCAGATTTCAGATATTCAAGCAAGCAAAAAAAAAAAAAATCACAATATTCAAAATACAAGATGGTGCTATATGGGCAAGAGCCCTTTTACATTATCTATGACCTGTAACCTTCAAAAGCCTTCCCTCAAGCTCTGTGTATACAACATTTCTAGTGAAAGATATGGACAGAGGTCCCATTCCCCCCGCCCCCGCCCCCACCATTACCCCCACCATGTAGTAAAGGAAGTAAAATACAAGTCCAAGAATTTATCTGGCCTCAACTCTTATTTTGAAACTCGTCCCTTGGAAAGTGGATGACCTTGTTTTTACAGCCAACGTAGGAAAGACAACCAGAAACACAAGCATAAAAAGCAAAACAACAAACAACAACCAATCATTTGAAATCTCTCCAGATAAATTTATTTTTGCCTCCTTCTGCCCTAATCTCCTACACTTGAATTAATTTGATGAAATACTGAAATCCTTAATACTGGGTTTAAAATAAGTATTAACTGTCTCCACTGGTAGACTGTATCCTGTGTACTCTCTTAAACAAACTTGAACCGTAAAGTGGAAATCTCTAAAGAGTGAAAGAGAATGGCTCAGAAAAAACATTCGAAACATCTCTAAAATGTAACTGTCAGCTCTCCTTTACGGGAACATTCCGTGTGTTCAATAAAATAGCTTCTCTGGTTGAACGTTACTCAAATCTAAATTTTCTCTAACTGGTATTTCTATTTTTCTTAAAAGTACATTTGTTAAAACACTAACTGAGCCCACTTGGGAAATCTTAAGTAGAAAATATGTGACAAGTTCCTGATTGTGTCACAGTCAGGCCGAAGACTAGCCAGAATGTTCCCCAGGAGAGGAAACCTGAAAACGTTGGTTTCCTTAAAAATCAATTTCCTGTTCAATTTGTTGGGGGGAAAAGGAACTACGTTATGTGTGTCAGTGTTGCTGAAGTACTGAACATGCAGCAGTAGCAAAGTAAACAATGGATCCCAATATCCCATGGCTGTGCTAATGTCTGATTTTTTTCTTTGTTCGGCTAAATCTGGAGGATAAATGTTACTCTCAGAACCCCAAGGTAATACCCACATCCACATTCTTAAGGCTTTTTGCTTCCTTCTGGGGTTAACAAATAACTATAATTCTTTTCTCTCTTTCTGGTGCCCCGCAAACAGAAGAGTTTGCTTGCCTTTGGCCACAGTACGTAATCATGTTACAGAGCACCCATGTTTCTACAGTGGGGTTGTCTCACTGTCCAGACACAAAAATGAGGGGGACACTTTCCCACATGCTGGGGTAGATTCTGGAGCCCAGATCTCATGGCAGAGTGGTGCTCTCGGCCATGCAGATATGTGCTATTGACCAGTTTCAGGATTCCCAGACTGAAAAGTCACGGCCCTCCATTAACAATACCTGGGGTGTTTCACACTTTTGTTGGGCAGGGTGACATCCATTTTCCAAGCAACGCAACCCACCCAACACAACACAAGAGCATAGTAAGAGAGAGAGAAACACAGCTATTTTGCATCTTTCACAAATGAGATCCTTGGTTTGGCAAGAAACCAAAGGAGGCTTGGGATTATTTCAGTAGGCAAAAATTAAAATAGTATTCGATTATTGCAGAAAATGCAGTTATGCAACACGTGGTTCCCCCATCTGCCTAGCGCACATCACCCCTGCCATCAGTTCCTTAATCCTCCGGAGGAGAGTGGGGCAGGAAGAGGGGAGACTTGTCTGAGAGAGGGTGTGTGTTACTGCTCACCAGCGCCCTCTGTGGCAGCTGTCATCTTTTCGTTCTTTTTAGACTTCCTCTGCATTTGTTCTTGTTCCTTCCTCCTCAGCTTTTCTCTTTGTTTTTCCATTTTCTCTTGGGCCTTCCGAGCCTTCTCTAGAGATACCTTCATTTCCTTCAGTTTTTTTTTTACCACTGCTCGGTCCTGGGATGACATCATTCCCAGAGCCTAGGAAGGAAATACATAAACAAATTTAATTTAAAAACCAGTGACCTCTCTGCTCAGGAAGAGGTTGATATCACAATATGTTCAAACTCAAGAACTAATTTAAACATAATCAAAGAGGTAAGAAACTAGGAAAAGCTGATGACATTTGCCAAAAATCTCCATACTTGGGGGCTGAGCTTTATTTGTTCTTTGAAGTTCCTAGCCCAGTAGGCCCTAAACCCCATTAAGTAAGTGCTTTCCAAACTGGTAATTAATGGGTGAATGAATTTTTAAAAGGGGGCACAGTTCTGCTTCCCCAACCTTTGGGCTGTAGACATTTACAAGCAAACATATTGCTAAACTCATCAATATTTTTAAAAGATAGGAGTGGGCACCTGCTGCCATAGAAGCCTCCAAGAAGGGCAGGGAGAATGAAATGCTTCCTTTCTGCCAATGTAATCATTTACAATGAGGACCAAAAATGTCTTTGAGGCTGGAATGCTCATGTCAGCATGACTAGCCATTTTCTCCCTGTAGGCAGACCTATAAAGGAATCCTGTTAATGAGGAGGCTGCTCGATGAGCTTGGAATTCAGAATAAGGGGAGTTGGTTGCGTACTTTAAATGTTTCATGACCTTCAGAATCAACAGCAGGATGCATCCATCTCCCCAACAGGGACAGCCTTCAATGGGGCCTTCATATTCACAGACTATTGATTGATCTCTAACCTTTTCAAGACTGTCAAGAGATACTCATCTGCCCTTCAGCCCAGCAGGGGGCTGAGGTTGGGGGTGGGGAGCCAAGTGTAAGTTCTTTTTGCCCTTTTCCACAGGGGTAGGTACCCCCTCAGTCTCTAAAAGGGATGAACTGGACAGGTGAAATGAGAGTGGGATGGAGCGGGGGGAGACACGGCCTGCGCGTACTTGGGGAAGAAAGTTCTGTGGAGAATATCATCCCCGTTTTGGAGAGGTGTGCAGGGAAGAGTGGGGGCGGAGAAGAAATGAATAAAGACGGAAAGATTCATGGATTTAGGTTTTAACTCTAATGTGATGAAAGAGAGTCCACATTGGCCATTATTACAACTCATACTACACAGGAAGTCAGTAGAGTTCGTACATGGACCATGTGTTGCTAGGGGAAGCAATGGAGTGAGTCCCTAGCTCTCCTACTTGGCAGCCTACTGTTTGGCTTAGAATCCTTGACGACTTTCCAAAACTTCATTTACTACTCAGAAATAATGCAACGTCCTTTCTGCTGACCGTTGATGAGAATTACCTCTCAGATATGCAGATGTTCTTATCTAATGAAAACATTTTAGGTGCTATGTGCAATACAAATCATACCTGGTAACCTAACACAGACATATAATTCTTTACCTTAAGTTTATTTCCATCCAACTGCAGGAGTTGCTCTCCAGTGATGTTTTGGGCACTGAATTCAGATACATACTGCTCCAGATTTAGGCTCATTAGCCAGTGAGAAACCTGCTGCACGCTCCATTCATGAACGGCCCGATTCTGACACTGACTGTGTTTGGGAGACTGTCCATCATCAAGGATCTGAGGTAGGAATGTTACGCAGCGTTGTTAAAGGACCAAGATGCTAGGGCTCGGCACGGCTTATTACGCTATCAAAAGGAATCTCTTGCCTACTAGAGCCACATTTATTTTTAAACCGTAAAATGATTAAGCTATGGTTCTAGTTGTGTGTGTGACACACACACACACACACACACACGTAATTATCACCTACATTGTTTAGGTATTTGGAAATTTAAAAATTCCCCCAGATAAAGCGGCATTATTAATGTCGGATGTTTTATATTGAAAAATACACTCCAATGTTGCAAGTCTTACGCTAGAACACTTTGGAAAGATTGTGAGATGCAGAAAACGAGTATTTCATTCATCTCTATAGGCAATGCATCACTCTGCATGTAGCCTCGGATAAGACGTTGGAGATATATAAAAATACATTTAAAAATATTGAGGTATCTTTCCCTTAGAAGGGGACGGCATTACGTCCTCAAGCGTTGTTAGGGGAAATTTCACAGCCATGATTTCACGTGAGCAGCAAGCGAACCTGTGAGGAAGGCAGGGCAGGTAATGTCCATAATGACTTTTAATAAATGAGGGAAGTGAGGCTCGGCAAGTGTACAGATCTGTCCGAGACCACGCAGCTAGCAACGGGTAGAGCTCAACAGGTAGCGGTTTATTCCAAATCTTAGGCTCTGCCCAGCGCAGAACATTGCTTTTAATAGTGCAGAGGGCAGCTTGGTCCCTAGCACCTCTAAGCTGAGAGGCGATGAAGATGAAGACAGGTCTGGGAGGAAAGACAAGGGTCACCTTGGGGAACACTGACAAGGGGATGGGGTAAGCCAAGATGAAGGCAAAGGAGGTGGAACACAATGGACCGTGTCAGGGTAATGGCGATGGGGGATCAGTCGAGGGACTCTGGAGGTAGAATGTGGTGATCCTCTTGACTCAGAAATATCTTTTAAACTTAGATAGAGACAAGGGCAGAGAGTGAAACTATTTAGGACAAGGAAATCCTCCACCACAGACACCAGTATTCTTGCATCGTTTGAGTTTTAAATCATTTTGCAGAGAGAGAAGAGAAGGTTCGAACAATACCACATAAGCCACCACACGCAGCCCACTGATAGCTCACCTCGTCATCTATCATATCCAGGCTCTGAGTGAGGGAGCAACAAAGGAATCAAAAAGAAAAGTGTTATAGAAATAGGAAACACAACATACACAGTACAAAGTTTTAAAATTAAAATCACGCCAAGCCTGAAGAGTATGGGCAGAAACATTTAAGAGAAAAAAGTTTCATAAAACAAAAATCATGTTAGAAAGAAATAACTTAGAACAAATACTCGCAGCAACAATGTCTTTATTTACAGTGCTTCTCTCCCTCCCACCCCCTGCCCTAAATACTGGTATTTGTTCCTCTCCTTACCTCTTGGGGCACTAAGTCAATCACTAATGTAATATCCTGCTTCTCTGTACACATTTATCTTCTGGGAATTCTTGGCAATGTTAATTTGACCCTGGCTTCTAAATAAGTGATTCTCACCCAGTTTTCCTTCCTTTTGGGAACTGTATACCTCTCTCTGTCTCCATTGCAGAGGTTCTCAATGAGGGGCCATGCCCTACTCAGAGGGAATATCAGAGTCCTGGGGCAGAGGTGATGATGGGGGGGAGGCGAGTGAGAAAGGGGATGGATAGTCTGTCAACTCCCCTGATTCCTGAGCTGTTCCCTATGTGTGCTCTCTAGTGCCCAGGCTCCCATCCCCACCCCTCTGGTTAGCATCATCTCAATTACATCAGAGAAAGGCGGAGGAGGTCCCTGGAGGGCTTAAAGGGCTTGGAAACAGTCCTTTGTCTTCACGTTGAGATAGAGAGGGAGAGAAATCATGATTTCCTATCAAGCATGAAACCATGATCCCAATGATTTATAACAAAATCTACTTAAGAACGTCTTCCTGGTGGTAGGTGATGGGAACAGTGGAGGATCTGAGCGCCATGAGCATACCTCATCTGATGACAGCACTAAGGACTGGGAGAGCCCTGTAGTTTTGGGTTCTGCTCCTAGGCCGCTCAGGTCTGCCGAACTGGTGCTGCTGGGACTGAAGTCATCATTGAAGGTAAAATTCTGTAAAAGTAGATGAAGCTCAGTGTTAAATGAGCACAGCGAGGGAACCAGAGGTAGGTGTATTTGCAAGTTCTAAAAGCCTCTCTTTAAGTAATCTTAGGAGAAAATCATATTTGGTTTGGTGATGACCTTCAAGTGGCAGTGGTTGAGAGCACTGTGCCTTTTGCAATTGATAGGGAATTCTGGGTGCTTTCTCCATCAGATAGGAGGATAGGTGTTTTGGAGAAATGATTCTTTAATCTCTCTTCAAGGATACGGCATTCATTATCCTCTGCAACTGCTCAGAGGAGTAATATTAATAAGCCTATCTTCTTTGACCCTAATTGTGATGAGTAACAGTGCAAGTAAAAATACAAGATGGTGTGGAGAGCCTGAGTTATTAGGAACAGATGGCCATCCATATTAGAAAGGTAGCTTGAGCACCCCCTGGGAAGGATCGCTTGCTGTTGGCCGTGATAAATACTGTGAGAAATGGCAGATCCTCCCCTGGATATAACCTTCAAGACGATGAGTTCTGGGGGAGGTCACAGTCTCAGTGTAAATACACGAGTAGTTACATGCTCAAACACAACTCTCACACAGCATAGACAGAGCACCAAAGAGGCTACAGAACAGGTACACTTTCCAAATAATCACCTGGGGGGAGGGGGGGGGTTCCTGGCCAAGGGGTGGGGGGAGGGGTGTGAACAAAAGTTCCTCAGATCTTCATTAAAACGTTCAGTGGATATTAAAGTCAAATACGTTCACAATGACCACATAGCTGCATTCGTGAAAATGTCTTACACCAAATCTGGAGTCTCTCCGTGGCAAGATAATAGTAGAGTTATTCCAACTACATTTAGATTTCTCAGATCCAGTACTAAAAATGTTACAAGATCAGAGTGATCTAGTGCTGCCCAGACTTTCTTGCTACTAATTCTAGAATGACTGGCTTCCTAGGAACTCGAAGCCCTTGGCCAACACCATCTTGTTTCATATTCCACTTCCATAGGGATTGGACTGTTAGGTTTCCATTAGGTTCCCTTGCCACTGGGTTCAGTCGGTTGTCAAAAATGAATACCATGCCAGAGGCTGGAGAAATCAGTTCCAAACAAACCCCAAGGTCTGCTAAAACTTCAGACATGGAAACGAAATCCAAGAACGTGGAGAGCTAGGCTAGTAGAACACTTAAGCAGGAGAGCATTTAACACAACACATTACTATTTGATATTGTCAACAGAGACACAGCCCCAAACCCTGTCAAAACCCTGTGAGCTGTTGACCTCAAGAAAATAGTTAAATTCAAGTAACATTAATCACACATTTCTGTTTGAGAAAGAAAAGCAAACACAGATAAAAGGAGACCAAACAACATGTGAAAGTTAGCCACCGTATGTGCTTCAATAAAATGTTAGGTAAGGTTTGCAGCGTCATGCTGGAAATAACCATTGTGCATTTGAAAACAAACAACATCCATGCCTTGTATTTTCTAATTCTGCTAAAGTTAAGAACTTTGGTTATGAGATTATAAGTTTTTCAACATGGAAGTTTGATTTAAAAGAAGATATAAGCAAGGGGGCTATGGCAGCATTGGTTTGTTTTAAAGAGTTTCATTTAGATATATTGAACACGTATTCAGTCCCAAATTTATTTGTTTTCCAGTAAATCTCGAAGAACGCGGTAAAAATAGTCTTGTAATGTAATTTAAAGTGGCATACTTCGTAAACAGATCTATCATACTGGTCCATGACTCAAATGCATCTTTCCCAGCATGGCTTAACTGTCAAACTGAGATTAAACAGCAATATGTGAAAAGACAGGCAAATCAAGGATTAACGTACAATCTAGAATGGAACAGAATTAAAGAAGGTGATGGTTAACGGAGGCTTTCTTTCTCCCCACACAGGAAATACCATGCATGGTTTATTGCAGTGTTATCACATTGGTTTCTCAGGTCCAGAGTAAACACACAAGTTGAGAATGCTTTCCAAAGACTGAAGAGGAGGAAGGATTTGGGGTTTTCTTGTTTGCTTTTTAAATCCATGTGTTGTCTACCTTGGACCCCTTTTTATCTGAAATTAGAGTTTCAGGAGAAGACTGAAGGGGACTTGTAGGTGAAGGCAGGTTTCTGAAAGAATAGGATCCTTTTCGGCTTTCGTTAAACCACGAGAAAGGCATGCATGGTGAGCGGGTGGTGACCTGCGCTGTGGGGGATGGCTTCGGTTTCCAGTGTTCCAGCCTGCCTCTGAAGATCCTGTATTATGAGACAAATGGGCACGTTAGACAAAGAAAGGGCAGATGTGACACTTGTTTAACTGAATTCTGAAGGGACTCTGAATCAAGTTCAAAGTAAGAGTTTGAGATATTGTTCTACACAACAGAGGAAAAAATTTGCATTTTTTACTAGGGCATTAAGCTTAGTAGCTACCTTGTTTGAACTGAAATGGATTCTACAACAATGGTCAACATTTCCCCACCCCCACCACCTTTTTTTTTTTTTAAGTTGCACAGAGTCCCATGTGGGGCTCAAACTCACAAACTGTGAGATCATGACCTGAACCGAAACCAAGAGACAGATGCTTAACCAACAAAGCCACCCGCGTGCCCTGCGGTCAACATTTTCATAGTGCTTTGCCATAGTGAATTCTTAGGAAATTTGCCTGATAAATGGATGTGGGTGAATTAAAGTCAGGGCGGGGCACCATCTTTCTAGAACTGCTATGAGGTTAACCATTGCAGCAGTCCCCTTATTTGGGTGACACAGCAGTGCCTTACCATTAGTGCCATTAGCTCTTAGCCAGCATTCTTTCCTGGCCTCCTCTGAACTCATGCTGCCAAGAGTATGAGACTTTGGAAAATGATGTATTTAAATACTTTGGAAATGTCAGGACTTATGATGCTTGAAGCAGAACACATCCCTTATTGCTTTTTCATCATAATCTGAGTGCCTTTTTCTAGGAGGAGACCAGGCCACAAGTCTTAATACCCTACTTGGAGGTCCAGGGTCTACCACCTCTCGAGTACATGGCCTTGGTCTTCTCTTAGCCTCTATTTGCTCCTGTGTAAAACGTGGGTATTTTATGTATCTCCTATGTAGCTGTTAAGAATTACATGAGATAGTATGCGTGAAAGTGCTTGGGAATCTGTGGAAGTATGAAGGTCTATGGTTATTGTTTAACATTGAAAGGATTCAAAGTCATTTGAGAAACACACTTTGAAGACTGATATTCTTATCAGTGCAAGTACTTGCATATTTACATTTATCTTTTGGTTAGAGAAAAATAATTACCAAGAGCTGAGGCAGGAATGGACAGCAGTTAATGTGCATCTTAGAAGAGGTCAACCCTCAATATGTCCCAATGGTATTTGCTACAATGTTTATTATATGTTAGCTGTTGATGTCATGCCAACAAGGAGATTCCTTTTCAGTTAAAAGTGCCTCCACACCACAGCCAGACAACTCAGGACCCACAGGCTTCTCAACTCTCATTTCAAGTTTACATAACTAGTAGAACACTCCTAACAGTCCCTGTTTATTTCCAAAGACTACTCTGAGAATCAAATGGGACAATAAATGTAAAAGCATCTTGTTAACGGCAAAGCAATATACAAATATAAAAGGATTATAAAAATAACGATTAAAGAGAATGGAGACATCAGTGAAATTTTGGTAGAATATTGAGATTGTAGTTTGGGTGAGTAAAATAGTTGGTCAAAGACTCCAGAATACCTGATGATTATGATGGTGAGTTCCTTAAAAAACAAACAGACAAACAATAAAAGGGACTGTAAGGATAAGACAGAAAGCCCAATGAGAGATGTTGGTCAACCTTCAATTTCATCCTAAAGTCTAAATTACAAAAAAATTCTGTATCCTTAATTCTACTTACTTACTATTAAAAGATGGGGCAGAGGGGGTACAATAATTGAACTTGAGACATCATACTAGCAGAGGCAGACTGGTATTCTGCAAGAAGCACTTTTTATTCCTGGGTCATGGACCAGTGCAGTGTTTCCCAAACAAGTCTGGTAAGAATCATCTAGAGCAGATGCTCAAATACAGATTCATAGGCACCTAGAATTCCTGAATTCGAATGTGGGACAGAGGAAGGGAGGATTTTGCCTGGAATCTATATTTTAACACATGTCTGAGCTGATATTTAAAGCTTTTAATAATATCTACATTTATTTATATTATCCTGGATGCAAGGATGAGGCTTCTGGAGCAGAACAAGTTACCATTTACTTACAGAAAATGATTGCACTGGTTCCCCATGCCCTAATTTCTTCTTTCTAGAGGGACACAATGAAAACCAGTTGTCATCCCATACTTGGTCTACACTGTAGGTAAGGAATCTAAACAATGCCAATCTGGATGATTATATAGGAGAGGGACATAGTGCTGTTCTTACCTCCCTCTGGCAGAGGGAGAGAAATCTTATCTCTTTACTGTAAACAAATTCAACTAGGGAAGGATCTTGGGTCCTTACCCTTCAGAAAGTAATATATTGTCTTGGGGGGAGATAAGACCAACAGCTCAGGCTGAACAACGCTGGGAATGTCTCCATCAAGCTGGGTCTCATCCTCTCTCCCCATCCTGCTCCTTGAAACTTTACCTCTGGGCGAGGTAAATCTGTGCAGTTCTCACTATCTATCCAGTCATAATTTAGCTTTTGAGGCTTGACTTTGAAGCTCAGGTCCCAGAGTCCAGTAAAAATGTTCAGAAGCCTCTAACTGTGCAGAAACACAAAAATATTTTTTCTGCAGTTCCACATTCTTATAACTGGACATGTTTGAGATAAACTGGACCTAAAGATTATTTCCCCCTTTGGTTACAAACTTCTGGATCAATTAATCAAAGTATCATGGAAGCTTTTTTTTTTTTTTTTTTTAAGAGTTCCACCCATAATTCAAAAAGGCACAGCAGGGTTTAAATATATGGATATTGTTTTAAAGTTTATAAACAGGTTATAATTAATGACAGCATGGCTATCTTGTCCTACTCCCAGTGAACTGCCTTTGAAACAATGCTTTTGGGACAGCCACCACCATTGCCATTTTTCTTTTTAATAGGCGGGAAATAAGAATATTTTTGCCTACGTGCTGTCATTCGAATGCCTTATTTGAAAAGGACTTTCAGAGGGCGCCTGGGTGGCGCAGTCGGTTAAGCGTCCGACTTCAGCCAGGTCACGATCTCGTGGTCCGTGAGTTCGAGCCCCGCGTCAGGCTCTGGGCTGATGGCTCAGAGCCTGGAGCCTGTTTCTGATTCTGTGTCTCCCTCTCTCTCTGCCCCTCCCCCATTCATGCTCTGTCTCTCTCTGTCCCAAAAATAAATAAACGTTGAAAAAAAAATTAAAAAAAAAAAGAAAAGGACTTTCAGTTCAACATCTATTCTGACCATACAACATTTTAAACAAAATTCCAAGACCACATCTAATTAAACTTTTTCATAAAAGCCTCAATTACAGGAAAATATTCAAGACTAATAATCCCATGACAAATTGTACGTGCAGCACTGAAGACCGATCCAGAGGCCATAGTGAGTGTGATGAATGACATCATGGATGCTCAGATTCCAGTGACATTCAGAGGCTTTCTTCTCCAGCTTTCTATGCAAGACGATGGAAGAAATGGAGGAGCAGTCACGTAGAAAGCAAAGAAAGCCTACTTCTAAGGAAACAACCATGGTCCTCAAAGCTGCAAACCACCAGGTCCTGGCCTCCTTTGAAGAGGATTTTCCAGACTGACTGTGCCCCTGCTGAGGCTGTATCCTGTACCCCTCATTTCTTTGTGTAGCCTCGACTCTAAAACCCCATGAACTGATATAATCTCTGTGTGTTTCCTAGTATACCGAATGGTTAGTATGCTTCCATTTGCTTGGACCCAAAGTATATTCACTTAAAAAAGCAAACTCTCCATTACTTTATAATTACAGATCCATCAGCTTACCAGACATATTTTCTAAAATAAATACCAATGTCCCTCTGGACAATATGAATTCTTGGGCCTACAAAAGGAGCAGAGAGAGTTTGGAAATAGTCATGCCTTACTGACCACTCAGAGTCTGTTTCACTTTGTGGAGAAATCTGTCAAGAATAACATAAAATTCTTCCCTTCTTTCTCCTTCCTTCCCTTTCTTCCCTCCCTCGCTCCCTCTATTGACTTTTTTGACTCTGAGAGCTGGTTATGGTGTAAGGTGCATAAGCTTCATATAGATCCTTAACAATCCCCTTGAAAAATCAAGATTGGTAGAAATGAATGTTTACTGGATCTGAAAATAGTTTTCAGAGAGTCAAAATAGGTATGTGTTCTGTAATTCATCTTCTTTTTTAACTTGTACACTAAAGTCTCACTATCATTTTTGGTAAAAATGCAATTACAAGTCACGGATGTAACCCCGATTGTTTTATTGTTAGTAACTGAGAAAAAGAATGGCTTCAAATTAAATCTCTGTAATATTAAATTGCCAAGGGTGTGTGTGTGTGATGTGTGTGAGGTGGAGGGAGTAACTGTTTCCCGGCATTTAAGTGGTTTATAGCTCACAACTCTAGAGAGCAGCTAACCCAATTGCATACATCTTGAAACCAGTTCATCCTGGGGTCAGCACCCCAAAGTTAAGTTGCCCAGGTAAACATTCCTTAGTAATTCTTTTTTTTTTTTTTTTTTTGGTTTGTCTTACATTAAATACAAGGTGTGTGAAGTTATTCGGAATAGAACTGAATGTCATCAAGATAAAATAGGAGTTCAGGAACTGGCAGAACATAAAAAGTATAAGCATAATATAGACTTTAAGCAGGTAGTTATGGAGGTTAATTAGAGAAAGTTAGGGGCAATCAGAGGAAGGGTTGCAGACTTCCATTTACTCAAATCAGATCAAGTAATTCTGTAAAGTTCTAACATCCACCAAGGAGACTGAAGTTTTAAAGCCAGCTCCTTCTGAAGGGCACTTGGAGACCCTGACAGTTAACAGCTATGACAAGCAGGCCATGTGCAGCCTGGACAAGCATGTCCATGTGCAGCTTAGGCCAACCACCCTAGACATATCCTGCTTCCAGACCCTGAGTTACGGTCTAAACCTCTAATCCATAACCGATAGCCCATATGAGATGGTAACTGTTTAACCTTAACTTGTGACAGGGTTTCTGGACATGCTAACCACAGAATATGGTAACTTGGCACAGCAAATATTTTAAGATAAAGGAATCTGACAAATGGTAGGTACTCTGACCTCCCCCACTGCTCCTGAAGCAGGTCATAGGACCCTTACATGAGAGGTGCCCTCCCTATATACCTGGAGGAAAGGAACATCTTTATCTCTGTAGATGGAGGGACACTTAGAGAAATCTGAAGGAATGAATGAACGAATAGGCCTTGCTAAGCTCCCCACTGTTTACTACTGTTAGTTCATACCCTTATGTTCTATCATATTTTCCAAGCCTTTTCAGTCTTAAACTAATCTAGCATTAAAATGCTCAGGCTTAACTGCTTCTCTGAGTCTTCATTTCCTTATAAAGTTTCCTGCATCACACAAAACTTACATTAAATAAATCTGTATGCTTTTCTCTTGTTAATCTATCTTCTGTCAATTTCATTTACAGGACTCCAACCAAAGAACCCAAGAGGGTAGAAGGAAAAAAGGTTATTTTTTTTTTTCCTCCTCTACATTCATATGAGATGGAGAAACTGTTCCTTTAATGAGTTCCCTCCATATTGGGAAGGTTTTTTTTTTTAATTTTTTAAAAATGTTTATTTATTTTTGAGAGAGAGAGGATGAGAGAGAAACAGAGAGAGAGAGAGAGAGAGAGAGAGGCAGAGACAGACACACAGAATTCGAAGCAGGGTCCAGACTGAGCTGTCAACACAGAGCCCAACACGGGGCTTGAACCCACAAACCGTGAGATCATGACCTGAGCGGAAGTTGAACGCTTAACCGACTGAGCCACCCACGCGCCCTGGGAAGATTTAAAATGAAACATCAAGAAGATTATGTAAAATAAAATTGATATTATCAAAATAAAAATGTTAGGTTTAGGAATAATAAATATATTGCTGAGGATTTAAGAAAATTTGTATTATTAGAAGTCTGAGAGAGAAGTTTGTCTGTTGATTCTATCTTAATATGATTAATTGTTTAAGAAGTAAAATAACCAAATTGATAAGAGCACTGGATGTTTACAGTCACTATGTTACCATTTTAATCTACTAGATTTTTGAGTTTTTTCAAGTGGAAAAGCGTTGACATGTAAAAGTTTGTCAAGTTTCAAGCGCTGGCAAGTACTTAAAAAGAAAACTGAATAAATTACATTTATAAACGCAGTTTTCTAAAATCAGGACAGGCAATTATGGGGGGAACAAGTCTGTGCTACTGAGTCTAAGCTAACATTATTCAGAGGTCTCCATAAAAGTGACTGCTTTTATTTTTTTTACAAAATTTTACTAGGTGTATAAATAAAACAAAAAGATTTGTAAGTTGAACTGAAACTGAAAAAAAAGTAAGTTGTAAAAACTGGAGACTTTAATAAGTTACTTTTAATTTATAACTCAAATAATCCCCTTTTTAAGAATGAAGCAACCTCTGGTCATGAAAAATATCAAGTGAAGGAGAGAATCTGCAGAAGTTATACTGTCAAAATTAAGCACTCTGTAGGAGCTTTACTGAGTTTTCATCACCATTGTTCATGATTTAAACATTTGCTTTAAAACGTGCCGGGCTTGGGGCGCCTGGGTGGCTCAGTCAGTTACACATACGATTTCGGCTCAGGTCATGATCTCATGGGTCACCAGTTTGAGCTCCACATTGGGCTCTGTGCAGACAGCTCAGAGCCTAGAGCCTGTTTTGGATTCTGTATCTCCCTCTCTCTGCCCCTCCCCTGCTATCTATCTCCCTCTCTCTCTCTCTCACAAATAATGAATAAACTTTAAAAATAAATTAAATAAAATTACTTAAAAAAAAACCCAACAACCTGCCAGGCTCAAATTATTTTGCTATTTTCTAATGGCCATTCTCTTCTGGCCACTTACAATAGCATTTTTGTTTCCTATTTTTTAAAATAATTTTTGAAAAATGTTTATTTATTTACTTTAAGACAGAGAAAGCAGGTATGTGAGCAGGGGAGGGGCAGAAAGACACAGAGAAAATCCCAAGGAGCTCTGCGCTGATAGCCCCAATGAGGGGCTCGATCTCATGAACTGTGAGGTCATGACCTGAGCCAAAATCGCAAGTTGGACACGTAACTCACCAAGCTACGCAGGCGCACCTTTTAAAAGCATACTTTTAATATATTTTTTTAAGAGAAATGTTGGCTCTTCTGTGGGGTGTCTCTGTTAGGCAGAGGCGAGGTGCTGTTCTCTTCAGGCACATTTGCTCGTCTTGCTCATCAACACTTCTGAAAGGGACTGTTTCCACTCCAGCTCAAGAGCAGAGGCTGTGTGCCCTTGCTCAGCAACAGGGCAGAGCTGCCCTCCAGGCACATGTCACTGGAATGTTCTCAAACTCACTGTAATGCCTTGATTTACCTAAAGGTTCCTTGAGAGAAATATCTATGAAGGGTTGTCTGAATTATAATCCCCAGTCCACTCATTCTTCAAGATATCACTAAAATTAACAATGGATGAACAATATGGCCAGCAAAATACATACAGAGAATACTTTGTTTTACATTCCTCTGATCAGAATGGTTTTAAATAATAATACTAGTAATGATAACTGTTGACATTTATTAAGGACTTAAAACGTGCTTAAATGTGACTCTCAATCCTCCTGATGACCTGAAGAAGTATGAATATTTCCATCTTACGATGAGGAAACGGACAGACAGGTTAAGGAACTTGCCCAAGACGTTAAGTGGCAGCTATGACTGAATCCAGGCTCTTTACTCTGACATCATGCTCTTTGCTTTTACTGAAAGCCACTGTTATACTTATTATGCAGTTGTTGTTGAAGATTTTATATTTTAAGTACTAACCTTACTTTTTGCTTTACCTTTTTTTCCCCCTATCCAATTTGCCTTTAAAATAAATTATGTTATTGTATCTTTTGTACCTCTGTGTATAAACAAATTATATTTGGAACACAGAGGAACAGGTATAGATTTAAAAAAGAATAGACAAGAAGGAGTACACATATTGTGATGAGTGCTGAGTAATGTATAGAACTGGAGTTGAATCATTACACTGTACCTAAAACTAATATGATACTGTATGTTGATTATACTTCAATTAAAAAAAATAAAAGAAGAATAAACAAACATGAAAACATGCTAATTTATAGATCAATGAAATGACAAGTTAGAACTCAAAAAGAAGATGTTTTACATAGAATCATACAGATCGACACTATCCAACAGAAATATGAAGTACATATATAAATCAAACTTTTCTGGGAGTCATATAAGAAAAAGGTACAATTAATTTTATTTTATTTAACCTAAAATATTCAAAATATTATTATTTCAATATGTAATTGGTATTATAACATTTTAATAAGATATTTCACACTTTTTTTTTCATCCTAAGTCTTTGAAATCCTGCATGCATTTTCTCCTACAATACATTTCAGTATAGACTAGCTACATTTCTAGTGCTCAAAAGCCACATCTGACTGGAGGCTAGCATATTGGACAGCATAGACAGAGATGGGTGGGGATCAGAGACTACGGAGTTTGAATCCGCCTAATTATTTTTTGGTGGGAAACGAAGCTTCAAGAAATTCAGAGCCTTGCAAAGCAAGGATGAATGCTTGGATTCCGGCACCGTGATTTCCCACAGTTCATACTTTTAAGATGACTGCAAATTCACTTCCACAAAGGAGTGCCATCTCCCTCCCTTGTCATTTTCCCACATGTCTAGCCTTGTTCTAAGATACACGTAATTGCTCACAGGGCTTCCCATCGTCCCATTCAGCAACTCAACTGAGAGCTTCTTCCACAGAGCTCCAAAGCAGGCACCTCCACTGACATCAGTGGCTACTTACACTAGAATTAGGATAGTATTTTATTTTACTCTTTGGTCTGAACAAGCTCTGACAACTACATGCTTCCTGCTTTTGTTATCTGCTATGCTGCCTATTTAAATCCACATTCACTGAGGACATATTGGAAAAGGATAGAACCAAGCCATATTTTTGGAAGGGCTTATTTATTATTATAATTACTTAACCTTATCTATTTGTTTCATGTTGCTTATGTATTTGAGTCATTATGCCTCCACAAGGAATACAATAAAGTAAACTCTTAACTCCTGAAGAAGGGAAAAACCGAGACCAAGACGGAACTTAGCAAACTGTCTTGCCTCTTTAGAGTCCGACAGCCTCAGGCTATAACTGATTGAATGACCTCATCAGATTTTTACAGCCTAATAATGAAAAGCCTAAGAGATAAGATTATAAACTCAATCCATGAATCATTCCCTCATTTTTCGGAGAATGCTGCATAGAGGTGATGAGTTTATTCCCAGTCCTCCATAGCTGGAAGGGGACCCTGCAGCTCACGGTGCTTATCAGCCACCTACCTGCAGGGGCCCCATGAAACCAACTCAATGCATTAAGCTCCTACAGGGCAGTAACTCTGCTTCCTGCCATATGTTTTAAAAGGTTCTGGGCCCATCATCAATCTCTATAGGAGAACACAGACTGTCATTAGATTTGATTAGCGTTAACCAATTACTGTGACAGCTCAAAAAGTCATTTATGTGACACAGAAAAAGTCCCTCTTCTTCCCTTGTTCTTTCAGGATTTCAACTCTATGAATTCCTGTCAGTCTTGTCAAAACTTTACTATAATTACAGATAATTGTACATTTATGATTCTAATTGAAAACGATTTTGTAGCATTGGTACGTGTGTAAATACTTGTGACCACTGAAGCAGAAAGACTCCAGAGTTAATATTTTAAAAACAGAGCTGGCTGGCTGCTGGTGCAAACGCTGGCATTAGCTGTAGGCATAGCCCACCCTTGACTCCCTGGGGTTTGCCTAGAGAAAGGTGAGCACTCACCAACAGAACCAAGATTTGCTTGCTGTTCACTCTGTACAAGGGGGTGATACCCTCTGGCCACTATGATGAAATTGAGTCAAACCTTCTCCCCACTACGGATGCCTCACTTACATCCCTTTTAGGGTGGAGCCTGAAGGTGACAGGTAGTGACTGTCTCAGAAGTCCAGGGACCAAAAGGACTGCAGTGTTACCAGAGAAGTGTCCCAGCTTCTTTCCCGTTGTGTATCTTGGCATCTCTCTCTCCCTGAAATAGTTTCATTATTTATTGTCTTTTTTTTTTTTTTAATCCTGAGTATATTTATAGTTTTCTAAACTTAATTTTAAGGCACATAGTAGACTATTTTATATTTCTTACTCTGAAACCACATGAAGTTAAATTGCTTTTCTGTTGTATCATTGACTTATTTTTCCTGAGACTGGTGTCCTTAACAGAGCTTTTTATCCGTTCTCCAGTGCACAACGTTAAAAACAAACAAACAAAACAACAATGGACTAACACAATTAATTTGGGAATTCTCTCTTCTCATCCCCCACCCTACTGTCCCAGAATCCCAGGAAGAAGTTGTACGCCAGGAAAAAGCAAAAAAAAAAAAAAAAAAAAAAAAAAAAGAAAGAGTGGAGGACAACCTATAAAACAGGAAAGTGGTCCCCAAGTGATTTTATGATTTTTTATTGTTAGCATTCTGTTTCCTACTTAGTCTATATTAATGAGATGATCCCCAAATTTCATAAAGAAATTTACACATAATTAGATACATAAATAACTGGAGGTGAGGCGTTGTGTTGGAAAGACATCTCGACAGGAAGCACAAGTCCTGTTGCATTAATTGCCCATTGCATAATTGTGGGCAAATCAATTAAATTCTATGAAGGTGAAGTTCTTAATACAGTATGGTATTATTTATTATCTGCCCTCCCAATCTTTTTATAAGGACCAAATAAAGTGATAAATGTAAAACTGCTTTGTAACTTGCAAATAATAATTATAGAAAATTGTTATCTTTATTATTAGCTTTAAATACCCATGTGCCAGGTACCATTTTATTTATTTTTTAATTTTTTTAATGTTTATTTTTGAGAGAGACAGACAGAGTGTGAGTGGGAGAGGGGCAGAGAGAGAGGGAGACACAGAATCCGAAGCAGGCTCCAGGCTCTGAGCTGCCAGCACAGAGCCCGACACGGGGCTTGAACCCACGAACTGTGAGATCATGACTTGAGCCGAAGTTGGATGCTCAACCTACTGTGCCACCCAGGTGCCCCCCCACTTTTTTTTAATGTTTATTTTTGAGAGAGACAGAGTGCAAGTAGGAGAGGGGCGGAGAGAGTTTAACATTTTTTTTAAATTTTTTTAATGTTTATTTATTTTTGAGAAAGGGAGAGACAGAGCACAAGCAGGGGAGGGGCAGAGAGAGAGGGAGACAGTATCAGAAGCAGGCTCCAGGCTCTGAGCTGTCAGCACAGAGCCCCATGCAGGGCTCGAACCCATGAACCGTGAGATCATGACCTGAACCGAAGTCGGGCTCTCAACCGACTGAGCCACCCAGGCGCCCCTTAAATTTTTTTTTAATGTTTATTTTTGAGAGAGACAGACAGTGCGAGCAGGAAGGGGACAGAGAGAGAGGCATTTTAAATGCTTTGTATGAAAACTCATTTAATCCTTACACTACAGTAATTAGGTAGCTACTGTTATTTACCCTTACTTCACATGAGGAAGTGGAGGCAAACGGGTTAAATAACTTGTCCAAGATTTTAAAGGTGATAACTCAGAGAGCTCTTATCCAAACCCAGGCAGTCAAGCTCCATGCTTTATTGTCTCCTGATACAAATCTGAAGTTAAAAGTTGACAGCATGCAGTATAAAGCTTACTGCTCTACAGGGAAGTCTTTATTGAACAATAAGCAGAGTTGGTAGGGCCTGAAAAAAAATCAACTAAACAGCTAAGTCCAGCAAGAGACGAGGGTCTTTCTTTCATGCATGGGGACAGAACAGTCTTGAAAGCCAACAAGGTTCTTAAATGTAAAATTACCCTTTCAGACTTAACAAAAACAGGACGCTAGTACTGTGGGTAGCCAGGCAAAAAAACCTGAAATGTGCCCAGTTGACATATCACATTGATGCTGTATTTAGATAAACACTTACTGAAACTGCACATGTGACTGTAATTCTGCAACTAAGCCAGTGGATATTCCCAAAGCCAGTGTAGGCTATAACTGGGGCAAGACAAAAACAAGCTGATTGTACAATTTCTCTTTCATCTCACTTCTTGGTAGATTGCCTCAGCTCATGGATACTGACCACTGATTTTGGTGAACAATGGGAGGGGGCCAGAAAGTGTAGATCACCCACCCATACCTGCTACCTGGAGAAAATCTATTGGCTTCTTTTTCTTTCCATTTCTTTCCCTTGTTGGAATTCCTTCGCAAAGGTGCCCTATAACGACAGCACAAAGTCAGAAAGGGGAAACTGACATTTTTCTCTTTTAGTCCTTCCTTCACAGAGGGTTTGTGTGTTACATCATGAAATGCTTACCCCAGATCCACAAACTTGCGCTTAATTTTTCCTCCTTGCACCACCAGTGAACTGGATGCCCTTAGTGATTTGGGATCTTTGGCACCATCTAGGATACACACACATGTGAACAAGACCAATTATTATTATTTTTTTAGGGTATGAGTCAAAAGTCAGTGCATCTCGGAATCTAAGGAGTTTACCCCAATTCCAAAGTATAAAAGAAAATAATGTATGCCTTTTTTTTTTTTTTTTTTTTAAGCCAGAGGAAATACAGCTATGTTGAGGAACATTCAGTTAAGCCAGGAGAGGTCCTGCTGGACAGAAGCCCAACACTCATCACAAAGAGTTTTGGCTTCAGATATATTGGAATGAACAAAGTAAGCAAGAATAAACACTATCAAATAATTCTTCTTTTTTAAGTTTATTTATTTTGAGAGAGAGAGAGAGCATGCAAGTGGGGGAGAGGCAGAAAGAAAGGAAGGGAGAGAATCCCAAGCAAGCCCTGTGCTGTCAGCACAGAGCCCAACATGGGGCTTGATCTCACGAACCTCGAGATCATGACCTAAACTGAAATCAAGAGTCAGACGCTTAACCAACTGAGCCACCCAGGCACCCGTAATTCTTTACATTCAAAGAAGGGGACTGACATGACTTTCCTTTTGTTCCTTCTCTGGCTTCAACTCTGTTTCAAATGTCCAGGCTCTGGGGGCACTTGGGTGGCTCAGTTGGTTAAGTGTTGACTCTTGATTTCAGCTTAGGTCATGATCTCACAGTTTATGAGATAGAGTCTCATGTTGGGCTCCATGCTGACAGTACAGAGCCTGCTTGGGATTCTCTCTCTCCCTCTGTCTCTATCCCACCCCACCTCATGCACAAGGGCGCACATGAGCCCTCTCTCTCTCTCTCAAAATAAATAAATAAATACACTTTAAAAAAAAATAATGCCTGGGCTCTGTGCTTCATACCTTTCCTGCCTTTGGGTTTCGGTGCCTTCTGACAGGAACCCAGAACAATTCCCCCATTTCTCCCAAGTCCAGCACAGAAAGTCAGGCCTGAGAGTCTGGGAGATTCAGGGAGAAAGTGAGAGTCAAAGCCTTCCTTTCTGGTCTCTCCCTTGCTAATGGCCTGTGGCCAGTTCTGGAACTGAGGAGGGCAGATCATGGGGGAGACGTTTTAAGCTGGGGCTCAGCTATAAAACATTTATATCTTTGAAAGGCTTCCCTTAGAAGCTGGGTTGGAGCACTTGGCTGGCCTCCTATGATGAGGAAGATGCCAAACTTTCCTCAGTGTTTGAAGCTGAATGATCTTTGCCTCTTTGAGTTATGCTGGCTCTCAAGGGCAGCAGCTGCTGGGGGATGGGAATACTCAAAATGATGCCAAAAAACCAATCAGAGGAGAGGCTTTGAGAATGGCGTTCAATGTCAAATGTAAGAGCTAGATTCCATGGGTGGCATTTATTCCTCCTTAAACATAGTAGATAATTCATAAGGTTCTATCTGGAACTATTTAGCAAAGGATGTTGTTCAGTGTTAAGTTTTAGCATATCCAGTCATCTGAGATGACTAACAAAGGGTGTTTTAAATTTGATGCATATTGGTGTGTGAAACTACTCTTTCCTAATTGTCTGTTGGTGTCTGTCTCTATCTTTGTAAAATTAAAAATATTCCAGCAATTTTCTGGTATGGAGTATAGACAGAAAAGTGCTCCTACAGAAGTGTTTAATTAACCTTGCTAATTAATTTTGCTTATAGTTGTATTTCAGGAGAAATTTCTAAACACACACACAAAACATGAAGTGCACACACAGTTTTTATTTAGGAGTCTACATTCAAAGCTCTTAAAGAAGCACAAGATGTTTACAAACTCTCAAGATTTTTAGCAATGAGCTCTTCATATTTTTTATGATCCTTAGATTACAATAATTCCTTGGAATGTACTTAATGGAACAGAAGAGTCAGAGATATGTCCACATCAAAATCCACTTCTTGTCTCAAATATTTATTATGAATATTTGCATCATCACCCAGGGTAACGGGATTAAATAGCCACAGATGTGAGATATACACATAAAGAAACTCCACGGTCATGGCACAAATACCTTCTGAGGTGATTTTGTTAATGGACATAGAATTTTTAAAAAGTAGGATTTCGATTTTCTTAATAGAAGCCAAAGGAAAAAAAAAAAGGTGCCAGATTCCTTCAGATCAATCCTAAGGCGACTCTTAATGGCTAGGACTGTGCAAAGTTTAAAAGGAGACTGCCTAATTATTTTCTGAATTAGAGGTAGCTGGGAGATGTTTTAACGAGTAGTGAGAGGACCAGATGAGACGATGTACATGGAAACACTCTGTAACCTATTAGTGTTGCGGTTACTTGGGCATCTTGGGACTAAAAGCCTGATTCTGCCCATTACAGAGCCTGCTGCTAGGCAACCTCATGTCATTATCTCACACATTTGCCAAACTGTGTTCCAAGGAACACTTAAATGAAGGCTTTCACAAGGCCGAAGAGGCAAGATTAAGTAATAATGCACTTCCCTGTTTTAAATCAATCAAATACATCTTTAATGCATATTAGGACTTCCAGTCTACATAAAAACCAACACTGGATTGGCTGGATTTCAGGAAAAGAAAAAAAAAAGCAATTTTGTTTTTGTTTATTGATTCAGGTTTACGTAAAATTTCCATCAGGCTTTTTGAAATCTCTCCAATACTACCTTCAAGAGCAATCGGAAGTCTGAGCCCTCAGGTTGGGCACGGCAGCTTTACACTTTGGCAATCTGGCCTTCATTCTTAAAGGTAGTAAATGATCTCCCCATGGCTACATGCTAAGGCCTTTCTTTCTTGTCTTGTGCTGCATTCTCCTTCCTCTCACTGCAGTCAGAGTCCTGACTCCCTCTTCCTTTCCTCTGGGGACTCCCAAAGCTGCTCCTCCAGACCAGCTTCTCTCCTGACCTTCTTTATTAAAAAAAAAAAAAAAAAAAAAGAGTTCATTATCTTCCTCCCATAATATTTCTGGTTCCTTATTTTCTATTGATGACAGGGCCATATTTTCGGAGGCTAGAAACACTGTGATCAGTTTTGTCCTCCTCACTTTCTTCCCCTGTGTCTGGGCAACTTACACTTCAGGGGTTCTTGCATGGCCCTTTTCCGCCATTGTCTATTGTTCCTCTTTAGAGGTTATCCCTCCCAGGGTCTCCTGACTCATCTTGCCCACACCTAATGTCTTTTCCTTTTTATCCCTCTGTTCAAACATCTGTGGTTGCCTAGTAATATAGAGACGTATCTACAGCACTTAAATCCTACAGCTAATGATTTAACCTTCCTGTTCAATTTAATTGCAATCATCTACACTGCATAAACAAACTGCTTCAGGCAGGCTGGGGCAGCCCCATTCCTTTCAAGCCATCTCCTGTGTGCCTGTCTCTGCTAATGCCACTGCCCTGCCTTATCTGCCTTCCTTTCCCGTCCATCCCCTCACCCCACCCAAATAGTTCAATGCTCACTCTAATTGTACATTCCTTGTCACGTCTTATTTACCAATCTCAGCTAGATGTAACCTGGCCCCTCCTCTCACCAATGATAAAATTTATAATTTCTACATGTATAAGAGCCTAATGCATTATATCAATAATAAATGAATCCTGTAAAGATTTTGCAAAGCCAGGTTCTACTTGCCAGGACATTAATTCAGCCAACTTTTTTTTTAAGTTTATTTAATTTATTTTTTTTTTGGGGGGGGGAGGAGGGACGGATAGAGAGAGAGAATCCTAGGCAGGCTCTGCACTGTCAGTGTGGAGCCCCCGAACCATGGGATCATGACCTGAGCCAAAATCAAGAGTTGGACACCTCACATACTGAACCACCCAGGCACGCCAATTCAGCAAATGTTTTTGAAGGCATGTTCTGTGTCAGGCAATATGCTAACAGGCCTATATACACTTTGAATAATAACCTCTAGAAATCACAAGTAGAAAACTGATAGTGCTTAATTTATTCTTTTTAACCTTATCTGAACAAAAGCCCATTGTTATGGAAGTTTAGAGACCAAAATGTTATTATTAGGCTACTCAAAGAATGAGCATGAGGAAAATATTTTCATGCTTTCTACTGTCATATAACTTGTTTTACAAATCTCTGCAAATAATCTTATACTTCCTCTTGCTTTAACTGAAGTGGGGATAGATGTTTATCATTTATCTAGTTACAATGGGGACTCTCTATACCCTATTTTCCACTGAGGTCCCTCAAATACAACAAAGTGATGATTTGTGAATGTGGTGTTGACATAATTTAGAAAACATCCAACTTCAATTAGTTGTTCAATAATTCCAGCACGTTGTTAGCCTTGAAACTGTAGTGAAATACAGCTGCAACTTAATTATTACCTTGCAGTAAATTAATAGACCAAACATAACGGCATATTACTTAAAAAAAAAAATCTAGCTAAATGGCAACCAGAGACTAAGATATTTTCAGAGTTTATACAGCAATGATGAGTAGAAGCACATAAAGGCCCAGACCAGGGGTCTAGCTTTTTCTGTAAAGGGCCAGATAGCAAAAATTTTAGGTTTTGGGCTATACAGTATTTGGCACAAATGCTCAACTCTGCTTATTGTAGCATCAGAGTAGACAGTATATAGACAAATGAGTATGGCTGTGTTCCAACAAGACTTTATTTATAAAAACAGGTAGGGACCAGATTTGGTTTGATAACCTGCATTGGTTATCTGGAGAGGCATGCCTGTTAATTTATTCAAGAAACTTATGAAGCATCAATTATATGCCACACTCTTTGATGGGGCCAAGAACACAAAGATGAGAAAGATGAATGAGAAAACTGGCTCATCCTTGACAACTAGGTTACTTATCATACACAAAGTGATAGAAGCACAGGTAACAGTGTGAAAATTTCTGTGGGATCAGAGAGAAGTGAATAATTCACTGTGCCCGGAAATGGGGAGAGTATACTAAGAGTCCACTAAAGGAGGTGAGATTTAATCTGGGTTTGAAGAAGAACACAATTTCCCAGGATTAGAGAGTTACGTAAGAATGTAGACCTGAGGTCTTGCCGAACCTCATTCTAGTTCTTTTTCTGATGAGCCAA